AGACAACTTAACACAAATAAGGTCTGACTTATGTAGACAAAGTTTCTACTTTTAAACAGAGAAATCAATACCTACCCTCAAAGCCTGTGCTTCCTAAAGAAATGTTAGAGTGACGAGGAGGTCAATAAAATAAATTCTTCAATCTGGTTCTTAAAAAGAGGTTCTAAGCCTCTTTTAAAACTTCCGAAAGATGCTCAGAGCAACAAATACAATGAGTGAAACTTGATTAGATTTGGGTTCTTAACAAAAGACATTCTTGTGATAACTGGGGAAATTCAAATATGGGTAAAAGTTAGGTGATTTAAAGGATTTGTGGTAATTTTTATAGACATTATAATGTTATTGGGATTATGCAAAAGTCTCTAGGAGTGAAATGTGGGTACCTAGAGAGAATGTAAATATGATAAAATGTTAATAAATATGTCAATAAATTCCCATTTTTATCATATCATATTCCCATTTATTGATGTATTTATTATTAATAAACATTTTATCATAGCAAATTCTATGTCCCAAAGAAGCCCCTTCCACCATTACAAATTACGATATTAAATACAATTTTGCATGACTGGTGATTGTGTTGACCCATATAACTTCACATGTTTTAGCAGAATTTCCCTGGACAACGTACACATGTCATAAGTAAGAAATCAGTAGTACTCAACTTCAAAAAGTTGCATGCAGGGTCTCAGGCTGGGGATATAACAGAGCATACAAGGGAATAGGTTTTGATTCAGACAGAATCAAAGTTCAAATTCACTCTGCCACTTACTAGCTATGTGAACTTAGACACATTACTAAACCAAGCTTTGTTCTCCTATTAAATGTTCCCTATGTAATAATATTAGTGTGAAAATTAAATAAAAACATCTCAAATCTGAAGCACAGCTCCTGACACAGAGCATGTGCTTACCTCCTAGCAACTACTATTATTTACACTCTGTTATAACACTGGCCTAGTTTTCCTATAGGAACACACAACACTATTTTAACTTGGATTATCTTTGATAATTAAAAAAAAAAAAAAGACTGTCTAAATCTTGACTGCAGCAAAGCACATGAACAATTCTCACATAATAATGTGAGATGATTTCAAATGAAAAAATGTTTGACAAATACATTGTCATCTAATATCCAGATTTAACAATCTGTGCTATTTAAAAAACAGACCAGTGTAAGGAAATTTTTTAAAAATAATACATGACTTGACTCCTGTATATAAGGAACCTAAATCTAGTTATGAAGATAGTTGGCAATAAAGTATCCATTAAACGTCAAGGACAGAATAAGACAGACTCTGTTAATAATAAAATAGTTCCTACCTTTTTAATTTTTAATTTTTAATTTTTGTTCTGTTACCCAGGCTGAAGTGCAGTGGTGTAATCACGGCTCACTGCAGCATCAAACTCCTAAACTCAAGCAATTCCCAGGCTCACCTCAGCCTCCTAAGTAGCTGGGACTACAGATGTGCACCACCATACCTGGCTAATTTTTTGTAGAGATGGGGTATATTAGTCCATTCTTGCACTGCTAATAATGAAATACCCAAGACTGGATAATTTATAAAGGAAAGAGGTTCAATGGACTCACAGTTCCACATGGCCAGAGAGGCTTCACAGTTACGGCGGAAGGCAAAAAAGAAGCAAAGTCACATCTTACATGGTGGCAGGCAAGAGACAGCATGTACAGGGGAACTCCCCTTTATAAAATCATCATATCTTGTGAGACTTATTCACTACCACAAGAACAGTATGGGGGAAACAACCCTCATGATCCAATTATCTCTTCTTGGCCCTGCCCTTGACACATAGGGATTATTACAATTCAAGGTGAGATTTGGGTGGGACACATCAAAACCATATCATTCCACCCTGGCCCCTCCCAAATCTCATGTCCTCACATTTTAAAATACGATAATGCCCTTCCAACAGTCCCTCAAAATCTTAACTTATTCCAGCATTAATCCAAAAATCTAAATCCAAAGTCTCATCTGAGATAAGGCAAGTTCCTTCCACCTATGAGCCTGTAAAATCAAAAGCAAGTTAGTTACTTCCTATATACAATGGGGGTATAGGCACTGAGTAAATACATCCATTCCAACTGGGAGAAACTGCCCAAAACAAAAGAGCTACAGGCCCCATGAAGTCTGAAATCCGATAGGGCGGTCATCAAATCTTAAAGTTCCAAAATGATCTTCTTTGACTCCATGTCTCATATCCAGGTGATGCAAGAGGTGGGCTCCCATGACCTTGGGCAGCTCCACCTCTGTGGCTTTGAAGGGTACAGCCATCCTCCTGGCCGTTTTCATGGGCTGTCATTAAGTGTCTGTGGCTTTTCCAGGTGCATGGTGCAAGCCATCGATGGACCTACCATTTTGGGGTCTGGTGGATGATGACCCTCTTCTCTTTTTTTTTTTTTTTTCTTTTTTTTTTTTTTTTTTTTTTTTTCTTTTTTTTTTTTTTTGAGACGGAGTTTCGCTCCTGTTACCCAGGCTGGAGTGCAATGGCGCGATCTCGGCTCACCGCAACCTCCGCCTCCTGGGTTCAGGCAATTCTCCTGCCTCAGCCTCCTGAGTAGCTGGGATTACAGGCGCGCGCCACCATGCCCAGCTAATTTTTTGTATTTTGAGTAGAGACGGGGTTTCACCATGTTGACCAGGATGGTCTCGATCTCTTGACCTCGTGATCCACCCTGCCTCGGCCTCCCAAAGTGCTGGGATTACAGGCTTGAGCCACTGCGCCCGGCCAATGACCCTCTTCTCACAACTCCACTAGGCAGTGCCCCAGTGGGGACTCTGCGTGTGGCTCCAACCCCACATTTCCCTTCCACACTGCGCTAGCAGAGGTTCTCCATGAGGGCCCCACTCCTGCAGCAAATTTTTGCCTGGACAGCCGGGCATTTCCACACATCCTCTGAAATCTAGGCAGAGGTTCCCAAACCTCAATCCTTGACTTCTATGCGCCCACAGGCCCAACACCATGTGTAAGCCAACAAAGTTTGGGGCTTACACCCTCTAAAGCAACAGCCTGAGTGGTATGTTGGTCCCTTTTAGTCATGGCTGGAGCTAAAACAGCTGGGATGCAGGGCACCATGTTTGGAGGCTGCATAGAGCAGGGGAGCCCTGGGCCCAGCCCATGAAACCATTTTTTTCCTTCCCAAGCCTCCAGGCCTGTGATAGGAGGGGCTGCCATAAAGGTTTCTGATATGCCCTAGAGACATTTCCCCATTATCTTGGTGATTAACATTTGGTTTCTCATTACTTATGCAAATTTCTGCAGGTGGCTTGAATTTCTCCTCAGAAAATCGGTTTTTCTTTTCTATCACAACATCGGCCTGCAAGTTTTCTGAATGTTTATGCCCTGCTTCCCTTTTAAACATAAGTTCCAATTCCAAATCATATCTTTGTGAACATATAAAACGGAATGCTTTTAACAGCACCCAAGCGACCCCTTGAATGCCTGACTACTTAGAAATTTCTTCTACCACATGTCCTAAATCATTTCTCTCAAGTTCAAAGTTCCACAGATAGGGCACAGACAAAATGCTGCCAGTCTCTCTACTAAAAAGAGTAAGAGTCGTCTTTATTCCAGTTTCCAACAAATTCTTCATCTCTATTTGAGATGAGCAGCATTTGGTCAAAGCCATTCAACAAGTCTCTAGGAAGTTCCAAACTTTCCCACATCTTCCTGCCTTCTTCTGAGTCCTCCAAACTGTTCTAATCCCTGCCTGTTACCTAGTTCCAAAGTTGCTTCCACATTTTCAGGTATCTTTGCAGCAGCACCCCACTACCCAGTACCAATTTACTGTATTAGTCCATTCTCATGCTGCTAATAAAGACATACCCAAGACTGGGTAATTTATAAAGGAAAGAGGTTGAATGAACTCACAGTTCCACACGGCCAGGGAGGCCTCCCAATCATGTGAGGGAGACCTCACAATTATGGCAGCAGGCAAGACAGAGCTTGTGCAGGGGATCCCCCATTTATAAAACCATCAAATCTTATGAGACCTATTCATTATCTGAGAACAGTATGGGGGAAACTGCCCTCATGATTCAATTATCTCTACCTGGCCCTGCCCTTAACATATGGAGATTATTACAATTCAAGGTGAGATTTGGGTGGGGACACAGAGCCAAACCATATCATGGAGTTTCAACATGTTGCTCAGCATAGTCTCAAACTCCTGGGCTTAAGAGATCTGCCTGCCTCAGCCTCTCAGTGTAATCCTAGGTTACAGGCATGTGCCACCATACTCAGCCCAGTTCATGTTTTTGAGCTCTTACTACTTGCCCAGCATTGCCCAGGCCCTATCCACATTTCATTCCACTGATGCAAGCCCACATCAAATTCTACCAGCTCCACCTTCAAAACACATCCAGGTATCTCTCGTCCCCAGTACTTACCTTCCTGCATTGCCCCTGCAGCCTAACCAATCTCCCTGCTCTTCCTTTTCTCTCCTCTACATACTGCTCATTCCGCAGCCAGAATAATTCCTTTAAACACCCAAGGCATCATAATTTCACTCCTGTTCAAAATCTGTCAAAACTTTCCATTCACTGAAAGCAAAAAGGCCACAATCTTTAAAAGGCCCTACAAAACTTCATCTACAGGATCCAACCCTGACTGCTTTTATAACTTCATTGTCTACCACTCTATGCCACCATGGTCTCCTTAAAGTTTCTTAAATGCTTGAAGCTTATCTCAGGGTCCTGACTAGTATACCTGGAATATCACTCCCCCAGATAGCCTTGTGGCCTAGCTCTCACTTCCTTAAGTGTATAGTCAACTGTCACCCTATTAAACAGACCCTCCCTGACCACACTGTGTAATACTAACAAGAAGAGAGTGGCTGAATTAACTATCATATAGTCACCCTATGGGGGACTATGCAGCTGTGAAAAAGAATGAGGTGATCTCTATGAAGTGATAGGGAATGATTTTCCAGATGTATGGTTAAATGACAAAAATGACATATAAAAAAAGTACATAGAGTGTTACCTTGTTTAAGAAGAGCAGTTAGAAAGAAAAAGAATCCAAGTAACTTTTGAATATAGTATTGCATACATCTTCACTGGGATATACAGATTTTCCTTGACTTATTATGGAGGTATATCCCGAAAAACTCATTGTAGGGTTGAAAAATCTTAAGTTGAACCATTGTTAAGTTGGAGACTATCTGTAATAAAAAACAAAAGGAACTGTAAACAAATCTGTAACTGTAGCTAGTAAGTTTGTAGTGGGTAGTAGATTGGTGTAGCAACTGTAAAATGAGTTGGGGTTTAATGTAGATTAGGGAAATCTACTGACACTACTAAGAACAGAATTCTCACTGTAGGAGTAAGGAGATATCAACATGGAACAGCAGAAGAGGCAGAAGAACTGAACGGCAAGATTATAAGTGTTAGAGGTATCACCATGAACTCCTGACTTTGTAAAAACTCTATTTCTTAACTTTGAAAACTGAAAGAGCTGAGAAGCAATGACTCTGGTACCCATGAGCACACCTAGCACCCAGAACTTGATGTCTACATACCTTCTCTCACTGAAAGAAACCAGGAAACGTAACGATTTGAAGGCTGAGGCAGGAAAATGAGTCCAGAACATCCTTCTGTGCCAGAAAGTAAGGAAGTGTTTAAAATCAAACAGGAATGCAGCAAAAGGACTCTGAAGCTTGAAGGGGCGCCCACTTGTCAAATGTGGGGTCGCTCAGCATCAAAATGGATGACAGGAGTGCCGTCTTTAAAAAAGAATCCACGAGTCCACACAACCTTCTAAAATAAAAGAAAAAAGGGAGGATGTGTGTGCAAAAGCTATTCATTACTGAAGAATATAAACTAATCTATACAGAAAAACAGAATAGAAAATTGTTGGGTGGCTCATGCCTGTAATCCCGACGCTCTGGGAAACTGGCTCGAAAGGATTATTTGAGTCTAGGCATTTAAGATCAGCCTGGGCAACACGGTGAAACCCGGTCTCTACAAAAAATACAAAAAAAAATAGCTGGGCGTGGCAGTATGTCCCTGTAGTCCTAGTTACCTGAAAACAGGTGGGAGGATTGCTTGAGTCTGGGAGATCAAGGCTGCAGGAGCCATCATTGTTTCACTGTACTCTAGTCTGGGCAACAGAGTGAGACTGTATCTCAACAGAAAAGAAAACAGAGAAGAAAATGAAAGAAAGAAGGGAAGAAGGAAGAAGAAAGAGAGGAAAGGAGGAAGTGAGGAAAAGGGAGGAAGGCAGGGAGAGAAAGAAAATTACCATTTGAAAATATTTTAGTGACTGGGCATGGTGGCTCACACCCATAATCCCAGCACTCTGGTAGGCCAAGGAGGGAGGATCGCTTGAGCCCGGGAGTTTACGACCAGCCTGGGGCCAGACACGGTGGCTCACGCCTATAATCCCAGCACTTTGGGAGGCCGAGGCGGGTGGAACATGAGGTCAAGAGATCGAGGCCATCCTGGTCAAATAGTGAAACCCCGTCTCTACTAAAAATACAAAAATTAGCTGGGCATAGTGGCGCGTGCCTGTAATCCCAGCTACTCAGGAGGCTGAGGCAGGAGAATTGCCTGAACCCAGGAGGCAGAGGTTGCGGTGAGCCGAGATCGCGCCATTGCACTCCAGCCTGGGTAACAAGAGTGAAACTCCGTCTCAAAAAAAAAGAAAAAGAGCAGCCTGGGCAACATAGGAAAACCCTGTTTCTACAAAAAATAAAAGAAGAATTAGCCAAGCATGGGCATGCACCTGTAGTCCTGACTACTCAGAAGGCTGAGGTAGGAGGACTGCTTGAGCCTCAGAGGTCAAGGCTGGAGTGAGCTGTGATAGCACCCCTGTAACTCCAGCCTGGGTGACATAGTGAGACGCTGTCTCAAAAAATAAAATAAAATATTTTACTGATACTGGATTCTGGGAAGAATCACGATAGGATACTAAAACCATTGAATGAACAATGGCTGGAGGACAGGCTATTCGCTCAACCTCAAAACATCACGGCCGGGCGCAGTGGCTCAAGCCTGTAATCCCAGCACTTTGGGAGGCCGAGGCGAGTGGATCACGAGGTCGACAGATCGAGACCATCCTGGTCAACATGGTGAAACCCCGTCTCTACTAAAAATACAAAAAATTAGCTGGGCATGGTGGCACATGCCTGTAATCCCAGCTACTCAGGAGGCTGAGGCAGGAGAATTGCTTGAACCCAGGAGGCGGAGGTTACGGTGAGCCGAGATCGCGCCATTGCACTCCAGCCTGGGGAACAAGAGCGAAACTCTGTCTCAAAAAAACAAACAAACAAAACAAAACAAAACAAAACAAAAAAATCACTTACTACATCATTTATTACTTACAAAGGGAAAATGGTGCCTCTACAATGGGGAAATCTGGTAAACTTCACTTTAACCAAATAATCAAAGTTAACATCTCTAATAATGCGACAAACAGACCATGTCTGCTTCCTGATGCGATACACTGGAAGGACCTAATATAACTATGAAGTATTCCTGCTTCATAGTTACAACCAGAATCTTATCATGAGGAAACAAGCAAGCAATCCACATTCAAGGGACATCCTGTAAAGCAACCAGCTCAGATGCTTTAAAAATGATGATGTCATAAAGTACCAAAAAAAAAAAAATAGTTTCAGGTTAAAGGGGATTAAAGAGGCATGATTACCAAATGAAGTACATGGTACAGGACTGGCTTCTGGGTTTTCTACCAGAAAACAGTATTGTATCAATGCCATATTTCCAGACTATAATGATTCTGTGTCTTGCTGGAGAAAGCTGTTGTTCTTATGAGACATATACTGAAGAATTAGAGGTGAAGTGTCATGAGGTCTGAAACTCTCAAATGGTTTAGCAAAAATAATAGATGTGTGTGTACAAAGAAAACTAATGTGATAGTTAACTTGCAATTCAAGGATAAAGTATGCAAATGTTCACTGCACTAATTTCACAACCGTCCTAAACATTTTACATGTTCTAAAATTTTTAAAAACCTGAATTGAAATTTTAACCACTTCCATCACCACTTCTTTGCTTTGCTCATCTCTACACTAGTAAATGTTTACTTTATCACCATCCAGCATCCATGTTTTCACTCATTTATGTACTGCCTCTCTCCCTCACTATAAGGTGAGCTTCACAAAGGCAGGAAACTGTGTGTATCTTGCTGTCTCCCCCATCCATTGTTCAGTGCTTAACATATAACTGACACTCAGTCAACAGTCACGGAATGACTGATGTTCCAAGTAATTCGATTAAGTGGGTTTATTATTATCCTTTCCCTCTTGTTGAGTGGTGTTCTCTTCAGAACTGAAGGTACTGAAGTGAACAGAAGTGAGGGAGCCCACACAAGTTCACGGCTCAGGTGAGGAGTGGGACCAGCACCCAAAGCGAGGCATCTGGTGATGGACAGTGTCAGCTGTTAATCACTGTGTCTGCAGCTTCCCCATTGAGGCAGGCTTGGGCCCTCAGAAAGCCCACCACTAGAAACAGAGATATACCCATCCAGTCTTGTCCTTAGTATAAGGCCTGTGTAGAGCAGGTTATAAATACATGCTCGCTGAATGAAATGACTTCTGAATGAATACATGAATTAGGTGAGAGAGACACCTAGGAAGGGACAGACAGTTCAAATAATCTTCTGTTGGAGGTGGAGCTTGGACAAACTGGGTTTGCAGTGGAAGGGAGAACAGAGGTGCAGGCAGCAGTGACGCAAGGTGCCAGGGAATGAGGGACCAGCTTGCCTGGAGGAGTTACCCATTCATTCCACTAATCCCTGTGTGTATCTCTTCTTCCTTTCCCCAGCCACCAGCACACAAACTCCCCGAAGCTCTTTGGACCCTGTGATGGTAGTCCACTCTGGCCTCCTGGCCTCCCTGCCTCCAGTTCCTCCTGACTGCACCCTTCCTCTTTGTTGCTGACAGATTATTCTTTGCAGGCTCATGGTTCTGATCTTGTAAGGCCCGGGAACACAGAAGATAATTCAGACTCCCAAAGGGGACACTTAGCATTATTTTCCCACACTGTCACATGTCCACACACCACTAGTCCTTGAAGGCCTTGTTCAAATAGCCTTCCTCCCAGGAAGACTGCTTCACAACAAAAAGACACTTGATTTCACAAAAGAGGCTGCCTTCTTCTTCCCTCTGTACCCCCACAGCTCAGACATCTCCTTTTTTTTTTTTTTTTTTTTTTTTTGAGACAGGTTATATTCTGACCCAGGCTAGAGTTCAGTGGCACAATCACAGCTCATCGGATCCTCTGCCTCTGGGACTCAGGCGGCCCTCCCATCTCAGCGTTCGGAGCTGAGCAGGAACTACTGGTATGCACCACCACGCTCAGCTAATTTTTGTATTTTTTGTAGAGTCCATCTTTCACCATGTTGGTCCCGCTGGTCTCCCATTCCTGGCAAGTGATCTATCTGCCCGCCTCAGTCTCCCAAAGGGCTGGGAATACAGGAGTGAACTACCACGCCCAGCCCCGGCCTCTCTTACAACGCTCACTTCTTTACCTGATCATGCAAGTAGCTTTGAGCCTATCTCAACCCCTCCTGTTTCGCTGTCATCCACAGATGGACGTCCAGGGCTGGCAGTGGATGCTGAGCAAACGGATGGACGGCCTGGAGGGCTGGCAGTGGGGAGCAGGGGCCCGCCGTGGGAACCCCTCAAGTACAGGTGATCTTGCTGGGAGGCCACTGCTGTACGACCCGAGGTTCGGCTGCGGCCTGACTGGCGCCAGGGTGTGGAGGGTGGAGGAGAGCGGGGAGGCAAACACGGGGAGAAAGGGACCTATTTCCTGGCGTGGTTGTGAGGACTTGGCCGACAACACATGGTGAGGATGGGCACAGCTCTGACACTAGCTTTTAGGCTTTGAGGGAAGGAGAAAAGAGCAGGCGTCGCACCACTTAGGAATCCCAAGGTGACGCCGCTGCCTACCGGGCTTCCCTCCTTCCCGCTCCTGGCGGTGGGCGAGTCCGAAAAGTTCCCACCGCGCGGCGCGGGCACCGAGCCTTGCTCGCGAGCAGGTGGGAGCCGCGCCCGCACCCCGTCCCGGGGCGTCCACCGCTGGGAAAAAGTTTGCAGTCCGCCGGAGCGCTCGGCTACGCCCCCGGGGAGGCGGGGAAGGAACTGGGTCCCGCGGGCTCGGCAGGGCCCCCGGAGGCCGCGCTGGAGCGGCCGGCGGGCCGCGGTCCGTCCTTCCCTGAGGCCAATGTTCCCTGCTGACTCCCAGAGGGACACCGACGATGAAATCACAACTTTCTCTTCCTGAAAAGGCCCCCGCGGCTGAGTTGTGCCCGGCCCACGGCGACCCGCCCCACCCCGTCCCGGATCCGCAGCCGCCTCGGGCCCGGCGCGTTCACCCAGCCTGGACACTGCCCAGTCCCGGCCGGCCGCGGAGGCTCCACTCACCGAAGCAGAGCAGCAGGCAGACCACGACGAGGACTCCCGGGGCCCGCCCAGCGTCGCTTCCTGCAGCCATGGCTCGTCGGGCGAGCATCTGCGCCAGGGCCCGGCCGCGCGCAGCGCCAAGTTCAAGCGCCGCCCACGCGGGTGGCCTGAAGTAGGACTCCGCCTGGCCCGCCCCGGCCGGCTCTCGCCGCCCGCCCCGGCCCTGCCCCCGCCCCCCGCGGCCCGCCCCGGCCTCTGCGGAGCTGCGCTCGCCTACCGCGTCCACTCCCCGCGCGCGATCCGGGGCCCGGCTCCGCGCGCCTCCTTGCCGTGTCCCCAGG